TTAAAATATTTTTATTAATCACATGCATTAAAAGTACTATTTGATAAAACGTCTTAGTTATAGAGATTACTTGAGAAAAAATAAATAAATATGAGAGACAAAATGAATTAAGATCTTATATTCAGAACCAATTTAAATCTACAATTAGTTCTTATGTTCACCAAAACGGTGGTTGAATTAAATTGAAAGAAAAATTTGCATGTTTTGTCATACGTTCTCATACTTGTGCAATTATATAGTAAGTTAAATGCCTATATAATTGAACGAATTTATAATTGATAATTGCAATGTTAAATGCTTATTTTGTCATGTTCATAAACATATATTAGCTTAATTAATTAGAGATGTTTTAATGCAGTCTCCTTGTGCATCTATATATATATATATGGATGGAGTAACTTTGGAATGTTGGAAAAAATCAATTTATTTCATTTTTTAACTTACGTGAGCCTTTTTTTTTTTTATCAATATTCAATCAATTATCTATTTCCATATGTATTAAGTTGAACAAAAAACCTTCATCCGTATTAATATATAACTTTATGTTGTTAAATCGTGTATTCATCATATTCTAACTTCAAATATAAAATTTTGACTAAATTATATATAATTAAACTTTAGAAAAATTATGAAAAGGCATAAACTTAAGTCTTTTTACCTTTTTTTTTTCCCATCACTTAAGTCTTTTTATTCTGACATATTTGTCCCAAATATTAATGGAATTGAATTGAATCAATGGTTTATATAAAAAGTTTAGCCATGAATCAGTGGTTGGAAAGAACAAAACAAACTATAAACCAATGGATACACAAAGAATCCATTATATTTGCCCTCTTTGTTTATAAAGAGAATTTTTAAAATTAAAAATTTCAAAATAAATTAAATCACATATATTTTTAATTTTAAATAATAAATCAATATTACAAATAATTCATTATCTTTAGAATCTGACAAATAAATCCCCGCTCTTATAAACTTTTTATTTTACGCGTAACCTCCAACAACCAATATTGAACATACATACTAATTAAAGAAGTGATTTACATATAGTCTAAGAATTCAAAAATATTATTATATATATAGATAATATAAAATTTAGGGAAATTGTTTGTACAAAAACTTCAATTTTAAAAGAGACCATCGTTAATTACAAGCGTGTTTTCATAGGTAAAAGAAGAAACTAACGAATAATAAAAGATGCTCTAGCGCAGAGTTTAGCATCGTTTTTTTTTTAAAATATAACTCCATGGGTGAAGATAGAAATATTTGTATAGACAATAATGAAATTAAATTTGTTTACAATGTTATTAAATAAAAGGATTAAGATGCATTTAGCACCTCGAAGTATTTTCTCAAGTGCATCCAACATCCTGAAATATTTTGTGGTACATCCAGTACCCTGAAATATTTTTTTAGATGCGTTTAGTACCGTAAAATATCTTTTGATATATCTAACACCTCAAAGTATTTTTAAGATGTGTCCAGCACCCAAAAATATTTTTCAATGCATCCAGCACCAAGGCAAAAAAAAATACTTCAGAGTGTTAGGTGCTCGTAAAAAATATTTTAGGATACTGGATGCATTACAAAATACTTTAAAATGCTGGATACACACGAAAAAATATTTCAACGTATTAGATGTATATCTTAACCCTAAATATAATACACGAAAGCAATGGTTATCGTTATCATGAAAAATGTATTATATAGTTGAGTCAACATCTTCTCATCCCTTGCTGGTCAAAAACAACACCTTCTCATCCCTGAATCACATTAAAAATGAGAGTAACCCGTACGGAATTCAAATTTAGCTAGGCTGTAAATAGTGTGGTTGACAATAACTTTTTTTTAATAAATAGCATATTAATTAAAGAATAAAACATTTCAACTTTCTCTTAAAATGCAGGCCTACTATTATTTCCCAATATTTTTCTCTGTTGATTCTCAATGACAAAACTTATGCAAGCAGAAGAGACAATGCACCAAGGAACATAAGTTTCACAAATTATTTATATTTATTTACTCATGGAAAAAAAATGAAGTCTTCCAAATACAGACAAATAAAATAAATAACAATATCACAGCTGGCCAAACAAGGAAAATTAGTTCGGGACTGTGTTTAATATACTAATTTGTAGGTATTAAAAAAATTAGTTAAGCTTTTTATATGTAATAAATGTAAATTATTTTTTCAAGCATATTCTCAATCATGTACATTACAACTAACACCTAATAGCACTTGTTAACTATGTGCAATCAAATGAGATATTTTGAAAAGAAAAAAGTGATATATTTAATTAGTGCTTAATATAAGAGCTATAGATCATTAATTTGAGAATATTAAAAAAAAATCAGTTAACTTACACCCTCAAGTTCTTATTATAGGAGCCTTTCTAAATTGTCCTTTTTATAAAAACTCTTTGATAATTTTAATGAGCATTAAATAATTTTGTCTATATATATCCATATTTAATGAGATAAGTGAGAGAATAAAAATTAATATCATTTTGAAATTTAGTGTGGTTAATGAGAACAATATTAAAAACTACTCAAACTTTATGACGAATTTAATATTTTTATTTGTTTTTATTCATAAATGTAAATTAGTTAGTGAGATTTTACAATAAAGACCTTGAGTAGTAGTTACTTGTGACAAATGTTTCTTGTTTTTTCTAAACTATTTTATTCAATTGTGTGCATTGGAACTACCTATTAATTAAGAGCTCTCTTAATATATGCAATCAATAAGAATAGTTTGAACAAAATACTATAAATTTAACATGTAAGGTGAATTAAAATCTTATATTTAATACTTCTCCGGTTCTTAATATAGGACCCAATTCTTGAGTTGGTTGTCCTAAATATAAAACCCATTTATTATATTTATCAATTTTCTCTAAATTACCCCTATAGATACTCCCTCAACCATAATCAAATAGAAGAGGGAGGGGAGGTATTAAAAAAGATGATTATGGTGTTTTAGAAAAAACGTGTCACTTTTCTTATAATTAACTAACTTACCTAACTTCCTTAATATAATCAAATTAGTTAAATGGGTCTTACATTAAGGATCGGAGGAGTATCAAAATAAATTTTTTGTCTAACTCGCATACTCAAAACCTGAGGCAATATAAACTTGAAAAACAAAGTAAACTGATATGTTTCGTTACTTAGGCCGAAAGCAACGGACTTCTTCTATCTCCACCTCCTCCTATAAAGTTATGTCCATTGTTCCTCTCATGTCAAAGAGAAAAGAACAAAACAACGGATGTGTCCATTGTCACGCAACATCATTAAAAGAGTTTTCATTAGTGAAATTTACAATGATATATCAACAAAGTAATAGTTGGCCATTAAAAAAAAAAAATCAACAAAGCAATAATGCAACACATTCACTTATCAAAACACGTTTTTATTTAAAAAAAATTATTCTCCATTTATAATTGTGATTTTTCTTAAAATATTCTTTTGGCTCTAAATATAATACTCAAATGAGTCTTCTATTTACAGATGGGAGGAGTTCTATTTACAGTTGTAGTATTGATAATCACACAACAATAATATAATAAACTTTCAACATCATATAATTAACACGTATCAAAACTTTTAGTTATGTGTTTGTACATAAAATAAATGTATCATTATCATATCAAAAAAATATAAAAAATATATAATATGTAAGACTATATTGTTGATATGCCCAACATTGCATTTAATCTTTTTAACTTTGTGTTAACTCCAATTGGTGTTACTCAGAGATGTAAATGCAATTTCTCAAAATTCTCTAATTAATGTTATTAATTTTTCAACTCCATACTTTTAGTTTTGGAGAACTCAACTTGTACATTTTCTATAAATTTTTTTTTAATGTTAATTCTTCTCCTTTTTTTTAAAAAATAACTGTTGAATTTCAAAATTCTAAATTAGTATTGATTACTACACTCATAAAAAAATGAATACACTAAAAAAATTAAATGACAATATATTTTTATAATAATTACTGATTTAAAATTTTAAAATTCAGCAATTGTTTTTTTTTTCCCCCTAAAAGAATATCATGACCATAGTAGCAGAAAAATGGTTGGGTCTGACAAACTAACCCAACTTAGCCGGTCCAAAGAGGGGGCTACGCTGAAAACATTCCGATTCATTTTTTATTGTCTCGTTTGGCCCACAAAAAGGCGGACGCGTTCCCCTTTTCTTCTTCATAGTTATTTCCCCGGTTTTTTATTGAAAAAATGGGTAAAACAATCCCTGATTGAAATTCTAATTTATTAAAAGGAGATAAATTTGAGTAAGTGTAAGTATGATCTGTGAGTACAATATGTCTTCTGCTATGTGTAACGTATCTTTCATTTTGTGTAAATAACTTCTGTATTGATCATTATTGCAAATCATTGATGATATATTGCACATAGCGGAAAACATGTTATACTCACAGATCATACTTGTACTTGTTCAAATTCAGGTTTTTTTTGCCAATTAAAATTTCAACCAAGAATTTTTTTTACCAATTTTTCCTTTTTTATTTACACATTTTAATTTACACGATTGATTTATTTGGACAATCAAAGGGAAAACTATTCGCCGCCTATACTCTTTTTTTTTTTTGCAACTTTAATTTGGCCTTCAAAATCTTTTCATTTTACTTTGTTAATATTGTTAGTCTTATGTATAAATCCGACCATTCTAACATAACAAACTTGTACTACTTCTTATCGTTAATATAAAGATCAGTTAAAAATTAAATTTGATCTTATAAGTAAGACATCAATTTATTTTGTTTTCTAAATTTATAATTTATTATACACATATTAAGAGAATTTTATTTAATAATAATCATGTTGATGATTAAAAATAATTAACTTATATTTGTTGTAAATAACTATTTTAATTAATTTTTTAAATTTATTTATATTAATTCTTATATTAAAAAATAGAATTAGAATGAGTTATTACTGTAATAAATTAACAGCATATTTTTTCACAGCTAATTCAACATGTGTGTGTGTAAGAAGTGGGAACGACAGAACATACTGATCCTTGTACTGCTAACTACTCTCCCTCATCGCCTCGGTGTCTGCGCCTCCCGCCACGTGGCAGCCCGTCGTTCTCCTCCTTCTGTTTCTTCTTCTTCCTCGTCCTTTCCAATCCAATCACTTCATGCAATCTGCCAACTCTCACTTCAGCCGTCTCTCCGATGTTGTTACTGGTTTTCGCTTCCCGGCTCACATTTCCTTAATCATTCACAGCTTCAAGAAATGGACGCCATCAGGCGCAAGCGCAGCAAGCCCAAGCTCCAGCGCCGAAACGCCATGAAGAACATCGATTACCAAGTTCCCGAATCCTTAGCTTCCTCTTTCGACGATTCCTCCTCCCCGGAATTTCAGTCTTCTTCTTCCCTCGATTTCTCCCCTTCTCTCGAGAAACAAACCAGCATTCGTGTCCAGGGCGTAGACGGCGAATTCGAATTGATTTTCCGCAGCCTCGGGCTTTCTGGCCCGGACGACTTCGCCATTCCGTATGATGACTGGCAAGCCCAGAGGTCTCGCTTTAATTTAATTGCTAAATCGCCGGAAAAGAAGGTGGAGGATGGGAAACCGGTGAAACTTGAATCTAGGGCTTCGATTAATAGTGATGTTGAAGAGCCTCGTGATGAAAGGCAGCACGGGAAGAGTGGTGTTCCTTCTGATTCGAAGCCTCTTGTTGGTGGGGGAATCAAAGGTGCCAGGCCCCCCGTCCTCTCTACGCCGCCGGTGATGCTGCCGCGGAGGGTTGATGAGGGGGTGTCTACTTGGGATTTAGTGAAGTCTTTGTCAGATGGTGTTATTGATAATTATTCACCGATTCGTGACGGGGGCATCGGTTCTTTTGGTGAGGAAGACGAAGGGCGCGTCGAGAAAAATGAAGTTGGTGATCAAGGAATTGATGCTGAGGAGGAATCACGTAGTGCGAGGCATAGGGAAAGCAATCTTCTTTCGGATTCTTGTTCATCTACGTCCCGTGACGACGAAGAAAGTGATGCCGTTGGCGATAAAGTCTTTGGTGAGGTTGACGAATCGGTTTACAATGTCTCTCCACACGGTTCATTTAGACGCCTTTTTAAATCTTGGCAAAAGGGGGAGATTTTGGGGAAAGGATCATTTGGAACGGTGTATGAAGGTTTCACAGAGTGAGTTCCTTTATTTTGTTGTTTTTCCGTTCACGCTTTCATTAGTTCTTCATTCATTGATGAATTAGTTTGAAATAACTTGATGTTCAAACAAAAACTTGAATGTTATTTTAACAAACTTAAACCGATGATTTAGGAATTTTTTTCCCCTCCTGAACTGTCTGTTTGAAGAAAGTTGGAAAATCATGGTAGTAAGTATGGTAATACTACAAGTTATATAATGAATCGAAATTATTACAAGAAGTTATTTGCTTGTTCATCTAAAGCCCGATGCATATGAAATCTTCATTGCCAAAACTAGATAAAGACCGAACATATCTATTATGGAGTTTGTTGTAAACCAACCATTTGGTTGGTTATCCATTCTTCTTGTTTATATTATGCTTTGTTTTGACAGAGCTAACGCATGCATTTTTCTATTCCTGCAGCGATGGATTCTTTTTTGCCGTAAAGGAAGTGTCTTTGCTAGATCAAGGAGCCCAAGGAAAACAGAGCATTTTCCAACTTCAGCAGGTGCGAGGGCTGAGTTTTCTCATAGAAGCTTATGTCTTTATTTATTTATTTATTCCATCTTTCCACGGGAAAATTTGATTGAATGGAATTTTTTGATGGCGTGTCTTTCAGGAAATATATCTTTTGAGTCAATTTGAACATGAGAACATTGTTCGATATCTTGGCACAGACAGGGTATGCTGTTTTCCTGCTTGATGGATAGGGTTTATTAGCACAGGTCTCCCTTTTCCGTTGCCTGCTCCCTGAATTATCTTCTGTCTAGCTCTATCACTTCATAGACTTTGCGATTGAAGAATTCTTATTTCTCTCAGTTTTCTTTGTTACTAATTACTTTTCCTTCTTAGAATAAAAATATGCTATACATCTTCCTCGAGCTTGTTACCAAAGGGTCATTGGCAAGACTCTATCAAAAGTATCGTCTAAAGGACTCTCAAGTTTCTTCATACACAAGGCAGATTTTAAGTGGTTTGAAGTATCTTCATGACCGCAATGTGGTTCACAGGTAATATGAGTGAACATACTTATATTGATGCCTCTGAGCAATATGATAATATGATATACTTTAGGTAGGGAAGTGTAGCTCGCTTGGTTATTGATATTCCGTTGATGCATGAAAGCTTCAGGGGAATTTTGTTTGGTGCCTAATGTGCTAGGGAAAGATATTCTTAAAAGTTGTGGGGTTACCGAAGTGGTTCTTTGCACTCTTGTATGTTGGTATATCAAGTTGTGAAATTTTATATTTGGGTAGAACTGGATAATAAGTGATAAGTTTTATGGTGGATGACATTTAGGGACATCAAGTGTGCTAATATATTGGTTGATGCAAATGGGTCAGTAAAGCTTGCTGATTTTGGCCTAGCCAAGGTACTCTATATCATTGAAATAAACTTTCCATTCAGCCCCCCTGCTTTTTGACTTGAGAAAAAAAGGATGGTCTTCTCAATGCAAATTGAAAATGCTGCTTGAATATACATTATATTTGATCATTTTATATTAACAGGCAACCACTATGAATGATGTTAAATCAAGCAAAGGCTCCCCGTATTGGATGGCCCCTGAGGTTAGCTGCTGCCCTTGCATTATTTGTTTCTTATCATAATATAATTCGTGCAAATGGATGAACTAGAATGAGTTGAGATGGCCATCTAGCTGAATTGTTAGCCTTGGTATGCATTTATAAAATGTTCTGGTTTGCTGAGAGAAAGTAAATAGAAAATCTCTAAATTATTCATCTTAACCATACGGTTCCATTAATTTTCCCATATCAGATTTCACATGCAATCTTGAGATTATTATACTTCCGCTCCTTTGTAATTTACTGGAATTTTTTTATAACTGTTACATAAATTTTCATATTACATTAACTTACGTGTGACTGGTATAAATTAAATTGTTTGATTGTAGGTTGTAAATCTAAGAAGCCGTGGCTATGGCCTAGCAGCTGATATATGGAGCTTGGGATGCACAGTTTTGGAGATGTTGACACGCCAACCTCCTTACTCTCATTTGGAAGGAGTATGTCTAACATTTCTCTATATGATCTCTTCTTTATCTTGAAGCTTGGTTATTTGCTCTTTTTCCTTTATTCGTTGATTAGTGATTGGGTTTTCTCCTTCTTTCTCTCTACTTTCCTAGTCTTGCCATTTTCCTTCAGAATTTTAGTTGGCTATTCAGATTTCAGACCGTTAAGTTAGACAGACTATGCTTCTCTTTAAACTTGGATGACTAGTGATATATATATTTTCTCTTTGTTAACAATAGATGCAAGCTTTATTTCGGATTGGTAGAGGTGAGCCTCCGCCTGTTCCAGAATCTTTATCAAAAGATGCTCGAGATTTCATTCTCAAGTGCCTGCAAGTTAACCCTAATAAAAGGCCAAATGCAGCCCAGTTATTGGATCATCCATTTGTAAAGAGGCCATTTCTATATCCTATGAGTCCTGCTTCTCCGCATATAAAAAATTTACGGTTTTGAAGGCATTCTATTTCTGGATCAGCAATATGGCATTTGTGTATTGCCACCAAGAAGCTCTACTCATCCGCTATTTTCCATAGTCCCCTGAACAGTGCATGGAGGGATACTGTTACTGGGTCGACAGAGAGATCAATCTACAGGCTAGAAGCCAACAAGAGCTTGTCAGAATGGGTGTTCGGGTGGGAATATCCATTAGCACGGCCATTTTAGTAAGTTTCCATTAATTCCTAGCTCTAGCTGGGTGCATGAAAAGTACAAGCTAGAATTACTCTATTACAGTGATTGAATGGAGAGGATTATGGAAGAGGATAGAAATGGAAGACCAAATTAGACCTTCACCTTCTATCATCTATCCTCCTGCATTCTCTTCGAGCATATATCTACCCAATTGGGCCTATGAAAATCCAGTTACTTTGGCTATAATCTTATCCATCATGCTGGTTTCTGGTGAAGGTAGAATCAAAGAGTTGGGGCTTTTGTGAGATTAACAGGTCCATTGTTCAACGAAGATCTCGGCTTGCCACAGGATGAAAAGCAATGACTTCATGTCGGTGGGGGGAGTAGACAAGACACTCTTCAAGGAGAGGATAGACTTGTTCATCCTCAACCGAATGCTCTGTGGCAGAGTATGGTTACACCAAGAGAATTTATGGCCATCCATCTCGTGGGAAATTTCGTGAAGGGTACTTTCTCTGTGGCTTTCATGCAGTGTATTTTTGAAGTTCATTTTGCAAAGCAGTGGAGAAAATATCCTTTTTCACTGGAAAATTTTAAGTAAATTCAATCTGTGAACTAAGTCGTTCATGTTCTCATAGTTGACTTGGTTCATTTACCTTTGTAGATCAATTTGCCCAAGGATCAGATCAAGAACTCGTGTGTGATTGATTTTGCATATTACTTGTGCAGTCTCTAGTGACATGTGCAGGTTGTGGCCTGTATCTAAACTAAACTCAGTGACCTCAGCTGTTAAAGCAATTTTATTCGCCAAAAAGAAGAGATGGCCAACCGAAAAGCAGCCACTTCACTTTTGTATATCCTAGGTGACTGTTTCTGTAATTAGAGCATTGGTGGAAGTTAATCACCTTGCAATGAAGTCGTGTATAATACTTGCCATGTTTCTACTATGGCTGCGAAATGTAAGTTTGGTTCGTTCTTTCTTCCTTTTCTGTTTTTTGGGGGTGGGGGGACCAACCTTCATATGATGCAATGCGCAGATGCGAACTAAGACGTGGGTAGTTATAGGTTTGTAATGTCATCAGGTTAAAATAATTAATTTGGAATTTAAGCTTAGAAATGATAGTATTGCTATTAAGCAGCTAGCCTTGTTTAAATGATTTGCAATGATGAAGAATTGGTACGCCATGTGACCAGGATAGTTTTCAGTATTCAATTTTAAATCACAATCGTCCAATCTGTAGTTCACTTGGTCAAGGAGAATGAAGAACAACTCTGTAGTTCACCTGGTCAAGGAGAATGAAAGTTGTGCTTCAATTTTTTTTGCGGGGAAAGATGCAATTATATCGTGAGTTTATTTCTGAAATACGCCCAACATCCCGATTAGCATCCCAATTAGAAGTAAAATTACACCCCCAAGAAAAGATTATAGTTAAAATTACACACAGAAAAAGATCATAAATAAAATTATATTGCTAAAAATATCAGAGTATTATGTGCACTTAAAAAATAAAATTAAGCATAAATTTAGACCTTCACCCTCTTTTTTTGGGGGCGGGGGGCCGGGGAGGAGGGTTTATTTTGTTTTTAAAAGGAAAAAAAACAGAAGTCTGAGCAATATTTGATTTCAGATCATACATCAAGTTTTTCTTGACACTTCCAAGTTAAATTGAGTAGTCACTTGAGCTATGTCCTGATTCTTGATAGATTATAGTTATCAATTTAATATTTTGCAAATTGGGTCACTTTCATAATGTGGCTAACATGATTACCTTCGAACATAAAAAAGGATGTAAATAATACAGCCATTGCGGACTTTAATCATTCCAGAAACTATAATACATACTTTGATCGGTAATCTTGACTCAATTATGTACAGCCACAGAACATCAACTACTAGTTGAAAGCAGAATGCATGAATCCCTTTTAGTTCGCAAAAAGAAATACTCGCTGCATATGCATTAACACAATGCTTCACTTGACACGGTTTAAGTTAAATATATTACTAAATTGAGCTGGGAACGAGCCCCTGTACGCATCTGAGACTGCAACTGCTGTATCTGAAAGACCACTCTTCATCTCTGAAATTTTGGATCCTACATATTCTTTGAACTTCGAGACTGAATCAACCAGCATAAAAAGTTCTTGAGCACACCTCTGAATTTCTTCTTCATTTTCTTTAATAGCTTCTTCCAACTTCAATTTCGAGGCCTTGACAGACATGAGAGTTAATTAGATGCAATGAAAAAGGATCACATAAATTAGGATAGAATTAACCAAAGAAATAAAATATGCATTATTGCAAAAAGCGAAACCTCAGTTCATCTTCATTCTGAAAATTTAGTTTAGAATCATAATTCAGAAAGGGATCATGAGTGGGCTGTTTGAACTTGAATTGTGCCCTGTTGTAAGTTAAACAAAATTCTAATATGGCTGGATGGCTATTGAATCAATCAAACTACAGATCCGTTTTCTTTCAACATATTTGTAATTTGTAATTTAAACGTGTCAACAGGTAGAAGTTATCGTGCAACCCCTTTTTGTTTTTGTTTCTTTTTTCTTTTTCAAGGTTTGGGACAAACACAAGATGAATGAGCATTTGACTTAGAAACCATGTTGTTGACAAATAATTTCATGTTCCTCGTCCTTGGGCATCCATATGGTCCTGCTCCTACACCAATTGCCAAAAACTGAAGCTGACGGGGAATAAATTCGATAAGGATAAAAAGCTAAGTGCCCAGATACTCTCCCACATGCGGAAGAACATGGACAAGGAACTAGGCGTATCACAGAAACAACAAAAAAAGGACTAGAACAACTAAGCTTAAACTACTAATACTCATTCATATGTTCAGTGCATTTTATTCAATAACATTTATCCTAATAACTTGCCAAAAAGAAGAGAATGTGATATGAATAACAGAAGAGGAGAGTCTAGCTGGGAAGTTATAGGGTACTTAGTTTTGAAGAGTTGCTAGGCTAACCACTTGCTTGATACATACCGATCACCAATGTCCCAAGAGGGGTGAAGAGAACAAGTATGTTGTTATCACTCTTTTTCTCTCTTCTTTTCTCGTATATTTTCATATCAAATGGTATGGCTAACCACTTTCTATCTACATATACCAATGTACCAAGGGGTGAGGAGAACAAGTATGTTGGTTGATGGAGGTTCTTTTCACCTAAATCTCACTCTCTATCTTTTACCTTCATACCAGAAAGGGTGAACGTTGTGGACTTAGTATAGCTTGCCGCTTTAAATTGATTGGAAGTTTAAAACACAAAAGAGAGCACTAAGCAGAACATTGACAGAGATACTGGTCCAGCCAGGTCATGTGAATTCTTGGACTTTTACTTGATTTTAAAAATACAGATAACAAACAAGGCATCACCTTTAGAACCTCAGCTGCCTCTCGTTCCACCATGTCCAGGTCGTGAGCCTCTCGATCAACATTCTCCGCCATTTTCTTTGCTCCAGCTACACATCGAGAAATGTAATCCTCTGTTTCTTTTTTTAAGTTGTTCAGTTGAGCTTCCACCTGATGGACAAATCATCATGCAAAAGCAGTAGCAGAAGGTAAAACTACAGCATTTGCATGGCAAGATTGTTTTTCTAGTACCCTTCTAATATCCACAAAGAATGCAAGGGCACGACAAAAATTTTGCCAAAAAGAGGGAGAGCAGCATCATGCATCAATTGAATTAGTTATACAATACTATTAAGTATTCCACTTTTAAAAAGTTCATGTTTTCTCCCAACCATTATACTGCTTGCTATGAACGATGAGTATAAATTGCCAGGCAACAATACATTTGCGTGTGTGTGTGTGCTTATTGACCTCTACTTGAGTAATTGAGTTACAACTTAGACCACAAAGCCACCTATATAAAGAATGCAGCAATACTACCCTCGCACTAATCTCTAAAATACCCCTTCCTGTCCGCCAGCACTACCAACCCAATTTAAATCTGGCACTGCTCAATGGCATGCTTGCGTTTTGCTTTACATATATTATTCTTGGACGTTCTAAAATTCTAATAAAAGAACAGCAATACATATCTCTCTCTGTACCCTTTGAGATGCCATCACATGCAAACCAATTATTTCAGCGACTTCACAGCCTTATATCTTCTTAAGGCCATCTATCACTATCATCTATCCAACTCAAATCGTCGCTCTGTTATAATAATCATGCCTATAATACTATAAGTTGGAATCTTAACTTGCAATACCAGAATACCATACACATGGCCAGGGGGGGGAGGGGAAAACTTACTCTATACAGTAGGATATAGGAGACATTAACATGAAATTAGAAATTAATATCACTTTCTAAAGGTTATAAAAAAGATCCACTTACTTCATTAATTTTGGACAGCAGCTCATCATTGTTATTCCTTTTCTTCTCAATCCTAGCAGCATTTTCGCTGCACTTCTGTTGAAGGGACATTGACTCCTCTAGCTTTTTCATAGAACTTTTCTTTATGTCATCAGCAAAGGAGTTTAATGCAGGCTTCAGTGTCAGCTTGTGATTTATACCCATTATCTCAGCAGGTGTAGATCCCTTGGCATTCAACTGATACTGAATACCATTATCAATCTTCAACCTGGAAAAACAAGTGTTTGAGAGAGGGCATTCACAGCATAAAAGTAGCAAAATCATTTCATTCTAACAAAACTGTCATTGACTGTCAAGGTTACATTGCCCCATTATTCTTTCAGACAGCATTCAAATCAAAATTATGCTTATAATATACATAAGGCTTGCGCTTGGGTGCAGATTCAAGCTCTAGAATAACCTTAGAAAATGAATATGTAACTGAATATTAGCAGAATTAACCTCCTTAAGGCCTGGTTGCAGTCCAATGCTAATGCCTCCAGGTCATTGACCTTGTGCCCAAGAGAAGTCTCAATATCCCACGACTTTTCTTCCCACGCATTCCTAGCAAGCTCTGCCTCTGCAATGTCCCTCTCCACGGCCTGCAATTCCTTCCTCATCCGCTCCATATCCCTTGCATTAAATGTCTGCAGCTCAACCCTCTTCTTTAACTCTTCATTTTCCTCACAAATCTTCGTGTTCTCTTGTGCCTTGGCCTCCAACTGCTTCTCTTTATCTGACAAAACCCTCTCCACCTCCTTGATCCTCACCGTGAATTCCTCAATCATCTTATGGAACTTGTTCACATCATCTTCCAACAGACTCTTCTCCTTCTCAAGCACTTCCTTTTGAGATGGCCTTGTCCTCAGCTCCTCACATTCTGCAGCAAGTACCTTCATCTCTTCTTCCGTTGCTTTCACTTTCTCCACCGCATACCCTTTCTCCTTCTCCAACTTCTCCTTACATTGACGGTCCAGTTCATCCACAGCATCATCATCCCCCCGAATGTAGTGCAAATAACTATTCAGCGCATACATATTCAAAACATTTGCTTCGGCATAAGATGTCGCCTCGCGCAACGACGAGAGGTGATCATTGAACCTAGCGATCTGCACAAGCCAGTGGATGAGAGCCAACAAGGCGGGCCACTGGTGAGGAGCAGCAGGAGACTTAAGAAATGATTTATTAAGTTTGAAAGGGTAATTAAGGCACTTGAGGAGAACCGGTAAGCCATCCTCCATCTTCGAAGCGGGAAAATCGAGACGGGACATGAGGAATTTGAGGGTTTCAGTGATGTCTTTGGCGGACGGGCAAGTGGGTTTGAAGGAAATGGGGAAGGAGAGAGAGGCAAGGTAGGAGTTGATGGTGGAGACGGCCGATTGCTGGAAAGACCGTTCTTTGTAAAGGTCGACGTTGGCGGCGCGGACGCCAACGCCAGCGGAAGATGGCCGGCTGCTGGCGAAACTAGCATCGGAATCACGACCGGGGAATTGGCGGTGATAGAAGTCCACCGGCGTTGAGGGTGGTTTGAGCGATTCTTTGGGTTGATGGCGACCAGCGGGCCTCATTGCCGGCGACAGAAGCAACACTCCTGTCTCTGGCTTCGCAGTGTGGTTTAATTTTTCACCGGATTTTGGTTTTCCCGCTTACACTTAGATGGGCCCCTCACGTCCCGAGATGGAGGCGCGCTGATAATGCCCCGTTTTGGGCCTCGAAAGAAATGACTGTTTTAGTATTTAAATGGAAAAACTATACTGGAGGTATCAGGTACCTGTATTTTTTTTAATTTTTAATTTGGTATCTATGTGTTTTTTGTTCTTAACTAAACCTTTAATTTTGCTCAATTAACATCATTAATCCTTATATAAAGACTAAAAATACCAATAGAGCAAAGTTATAAGAGCTAATATTGCTAAAAAAAATAAAATTAAATGTTTAATTAAAAAAAAAACACATAGGTACCAAATTAAAAATTAAGGGAAAGTAGAGGTACCTATGATATGGTTTTCCCTATTTAAATAAAGAAAGTTAATGTACTGCTAAAGCCTAAAAGGAATATGAGCAAGGATTTAATATTTAAATTTGAATTTTGAACTCGCTTGATATAATAAAGAAAATATTGAAAAAAAATCGCATGTAATAAAATATTGATCATATGATTCTTATAGTTCACATTTAGTTTCTTTTTTTTTTTTGGTCCAACACATTTAGTTTTATTTTAGTTCTTCTAGTTTTAAATATTTTAGCAAGCTCTTCAATTTTTTCATGGTTTGATGTTTAATGAATTAACATTTATAATTAAATAATAATTCCTGTAAGTGTTTTTTTCAATGACTCAAAGCATCTTTAAGTTATTTTAGGCTTAAAACTAATCTCTGTCGAACCGAGTGTTAAGGTTAAAGTCCTACTAACAAGTACGCTTCCTTTCAGGAATTCAAATTTATATTCTCCTTTTTACATGATTGAAACCACTTACTATTTCAGCTAACAATTTATTTGCCTTGTTATTATGCTATCACAGTCTTTGCCGGTGGCTTCTATACACACTGACAAAACCTATGCATATGAACTATAATGCAGACAATCAATAGCAGTGTTATGAAATGAAAAGTGGCGTTACGAAACCTAGAAGTTGGAAGAAAAGTCATACTTCTCAGGGCAACTAAGCGTGTCTGGCTGATGAGTATAATTTTTATGCACAACTATCCAATAGAACCACTACTTTGTGAGAAATTAACATCTTTCTTTGGATCTACTCCTATTGTTAGGTTAATAAGTAGTGGAGTTAAATAAAAAAAAAAAGTATATACTACCTCTGATTCTTAATATAAGTACTGGCTTAACATTTAATTTGATTCTAAATATAAGACCCCAATTCAATTTGTTTTTTTGCATTTATCCATTTTTTTAAGGTAATACTTGTAATAGTTATACATGTTAAAGATTCCATAGTTCTAACTAATATACATAATTAGTAAAAATATTTTAAGAATGACAATATTTATCTATGACAAATAACTAACTTAACTTATTTTCTTAATCTACTCAAATTAATCAATCAGTTATTATATTAATACTGAAGGAAGTAGTATACAGTTTTATGCGTAGGCCCAAGCTGGTAGTCCCTTCCGAGCCAATTTTATGTCTTTTTAGGACGAGCTTCAATGGATCAAATCTTACGAGATATGGGTAAGAATATTGGATTAAGAAACGACTTGTTCCGAATTTTATAAGATATGGTAATTTGCAGGGTTGATTACGTTGGAATATCTCACATGCCCTGAAGAGGATCAAATCTGAGGAGGTGACGTGGCTTCGAGTGTTTGGCCTGTTACATTGGTTGATTTGGAAACACAGACGTCAGAAAATATTCAAAACACATGAAGCTACTGCAAAGGAAGTCGCTTATCACTGTGATTTCTTACTTATGAAAGAGATTCAAAATGGGAAGCCGAAACATAAAGTATTCAACAAGTGATAGCAGAGGTGCAATGTTCGGACTCCCCCGGATGCATTGGTCCTGTTTTCAGGACAAGCAGCTTGTGGAGGTGTAATTAGAGATGAACAGGGACGGTGGATTGTTGGTTTCCAAAAACTTTTGAGAATTCTACCGGTTGTAGTAGCTGAACTTCTAGCAATTCAAATAGGTCTGGATCCCCATTTAACAAAAGTTCAACTCTTCTCAGACTCTATGAAGGCTCTTAACATGCTTTCAACAGATAGTGGTGCCAATCATCCCTTTCACCATGAAATTGAAGGGGTCAAGCACTTAATATATGATAAACAATTTGTTCAAGTTAATTATAGTAACAAGAAAACCATAGAGTGCGCTGATATTTTGACTAGAAATGGTCACCAGGTGGAAATGCTAACAACTCTAGCAGCAACAAAATTTCTTGGAAGATCTTCAATGAGTGGTTTTTGGTTTCAAGCGTGAGCTTGTCCTTGTAATTCAAAAAAAAAAAAAAAGAAGCAACTTGTTTAGCCCTACTATTTCAATATGTTGTGCAGAGAAATACATTTCCTTTTTCTTCTACCAGTTTTCCCCCTTTTTCAACAAAAATATAAAATAGGGCCTTCTATCAAACAAGAATATTAAAAATATATCAAAATGTTTAAAACTAGGTGAAAAAGTATTGGGATGAATTAATTCTCTCCAAAATGACGTGTGTATTTTAAGTTTTAACGGGAGTGACATTTTCTTTTAAAAAAAGGGTAAAAGAATATCAACTCTATCTATCTTGAAAATTGTAATTTTTTTAATAATATATTTTATGTACTGCCAATAGTCATAATTATAAGATTTCGTTTGTAAACTATAAATGAGATTTTATAATTACGTCTAAAGGTAATATTTAATATGAAAATTAATTAATTTATAAAATTTTAAAAAAATTATTTATGGCATGTTTGGAATGCCGCTGGGAGGAGAAAAAGCACGTTGAAAAGAGTGAAACTTTAGTTAGTGGCTTATTTAATGGTGAGATATTGTTTGGATTAATTTTTGAGTTAATAGCTTTAAATAAAGAGAAAAAGACAGTAAAATACTCTCAAAGTTACTAAATGACAAATTAGAATAGGTAAAATCCCAATTCAGGCTCTAGGTACCATTTTGAAATTTTCAAATTTTGTAAAATGACAACATTGTCTTTAGTGTCGATAACTACTTCCATATAGCTATTGATTACTTTATTTTAACTATTAACTACTTTTGTTTTCAAAATTCCAGTGACTACTTTTATATAGCTATTGACTACACATGAGTAGTAAATCGCATTATTAGAATAGTCAATAGCTTAACAAGAGTAGTTATCAGAGTTTAAAAGTAAATGTAGTCAGTAGCTAAAAAAGAGTAGTCAATACATAAGAAAGAGTAGTCACCGGAGCTCTGACGATAGATCACCTGAGCTTTGATGACCAGTTGTCGGAGCTCCGGTGGTTGGTAGCCGGCAGGGTCGCCGACGTCGGAGCTCTGGTGGCCGGAATTGCTGAGGTGACAATATTAAAAAAAAGTAAAAAAAAAATAGTAAAGGACATTTATGTAATTTTACAAGATTTAAAAATTCCAAAAAAGTACCTGGGGTCTGAATTGAGATTTTGAAATTCAGATACCCTCATTTGTCATTTAGTAATTTTGAGGGTATTTTAGTGTATTTTTCCCTTAAATAAATGTGTTCAATTTGTCTTGTTGTGATTGTTCCGCCTCAGTACTGGTGAGTTCAAGACAGGACGTGACGGGACAAAAAAAATTTCGGGACGGGACGAGATACTAACCATCGTGTCCCATCTCGTACCGTCCTGAGTTTTTTTTTAAAAGATTATTTATTAATAATTATTATTAGATTATTCAATTTACTTAATAATAATAATTATTTTAATAGTGATTTTTAGCTCTTAAATTGTAATATTATCTCAACAAAATCTTTTTCCTCAACAAAGTAATTCATAAAGTCATCATATAGTGTTTCTTTTACCGTATTTTTTTTACAATATTACTTTTATACCTTTTTTATACTGTATAATTGAGCTTTTTACATAATTTTTCTTATAATGTTTTTATCTTTATGAGCCCAATAAAAAATAAACATTATAACATAAAATGTATAAAAAATTATAATATTTTTTTTAAAAAGGGGAAGGATCTCGTCCCAGTTCTGATGAGATCGGGACAGAATCAGGATGGAAAGGGACACGGGACAAAAATCCTGTCCTGTCCCGCTCGGTGAACACCCCTAGCTTTAAAGTTAGGTTGAAGCAAAAGTCAAAATTTGTAAATTTTAGAAAAAAGCCACCATGAAAAGAGAAAAAGGATGACTATGAGATGAGAGAAAAGTGTCTTAAAATAGGTCCTATTTACTTTAACAAAAAAAAAATTATTCCAAAAATACTCAATAGTTATATATTTCTTTGATGCTATTTATAAGTCTGAAAGAAAAGATTTTTTCTTAATCTTATTTACAAGTTACTTCATTAAATTTTTGACATGAATGTAAAATTTTGTCATTTATTCATTATAGTGTATATAATTATTTTTGAAAGGTATATATGTTAAATAGAGCAAAGTTGAAAAGTTATTATATTTTAATAAAAAGTTAATATAATTTGAGATTTTTTTTTTATTTGTGTGAAACAAATTGAAAGTGATTCATAAATAAGACCAGAGAATTAAGTTTATAAAAGTATCCAAAGAAAGAAAATATTAAATAACAAATTTAGAAAAAATTAGAAAAAAGTCTTTATTAAAAATTTAATTAGTAATAATGACTTAATAAATTTTTATACCAACAGAGTAGTAGCACTTTGCAAATTAATTTTGTATACAAATCCTTTAATTTAAATCCTTTTTACCAAGTTAGAATTCTGGTTACAATTTTGCCACTAACAAATATGATTTTTATAATTATAGTTTTAATTTTTTTTAACAATTATCATATTAAAAAAATCATATAATATAAAACACTAGTATTTAATAAAATTCACGTCCATTTTAATTATTTTATATGTAAACTTATTTTTTATTAATTATTCAAACAAATTTTAATTTTTTCAACTGATTTTTCATAAACATCAATTTAAGTACTACCTCCGATCCTAATTATAAGAGCTAATTGACTAATTTGAGGAGATTAAAGAAGTAAGTTGAGTTAGTTATTTATCCTGAATAAGTGTTGTCTTTCTTAAAATATTCTTACTAACCAACTGTATTAACTAGAGCTATAATTATTAAAAGAATTATCTTGAAAAAAATTAAATAAATACGATAGATAAAGTGGATTATAATTTTATATTTAGAACTAAAATAAATTTATAAATTATATCACACTGGAACACATCTTTATCATCATTAATACAAGTACACCGGTAATTCTAAAAGAATAATTTTAAAAAGTCACATCATGTGGAAAAGTAACACATATACTCTCCATTCTAAGGCAAGGATGGCATCATGCGAGCGCGACTAGACGGCCCATGGGGTACTGAAATTCCGCATTTCCGTCCGGTTAGGTCACGTGTGTAGTTACGGGGATCAATCGGCAACCAGTTACATTAGAGCGTGGTTGCACTGCCCTTATTAGCGCGTGTTCTTGAACTCGCTAGATAGAGAGAGATAGAAATGACTCGAACTCGCGGGTGTCGAAAATTTCGTTCATTTCATTTCCCTCCCAACTTCCGCCAACTGAACAAGAAGGACCTGAGATTTAGCGCTATCCTCCTTCTCGCCCCCTTGTACGCTTATCCCTCCATTCCATCGCCCCCCTCTCAATTCGTACGAGGAATCTCCTCTCTCTTCAAAACCTCGCTTCAAATTCGCTTGATTTTCCTCCATTTTCAGTTTTCGCTTCTGCTCTTCCATATCTGCCTGGTACGAGTACGATCCGTCCCTTATCATCTCCGTCTTCAATTTTATTCTTGCTTTTTTTTTTTTCCTAGAAAGATTCTCTTAGCGTCTCTCTTGGTTACTGGCTAGCGAATTTTGGTGCTGAACTAGTTGTTATATCCCATTTATCTTACGTTTTTCTTTTTATCTTTTTTGTTTTATTTACTTATTTAAAGGCATATTGAGGAAATGATTTACCCATATCCATCTAAGTGGGGTTGCTGCAAAAATCGGTTGTAGAATGAGCTTGAAGTGCATTTATCAGATGTTGGCGTTTTTCTCGGCAGTCAAGCATGTGTGCCTTTTTATTTAAACGGCACTTGATTTACTGTGATAAGCATTACTTTGCGTTCTGGGATTTTGTATTTAATTATTATTGTATGATTGGATTTAAAATAAAGTAAAGTTAGCGACTTGTACTTCATACTCTACCTCCATGTTCTACTTAATATTTTATTGGGCTGGCTTCTCGTCTTTGCTTGCAAGTTTTTCCCATTAGCACGCCGCTTCCTTTTCATCAATATATATATATATATATATATATTTATATATATGTGAGACTCTGTGCATTACTATTCAATCCAGATACAGTTTGGTCGCTGAAATAACTTGCTGCTTCCAGAAATCAAATACTCTTCAACAACGAGGCTGGTAAGATTGTCTTTGCAAAGACAACCTTTTTTCCCCCAGTGAAGACTATTGAGTGTTTTTTTGGCCTACTTTCCTTTTGCCCATCTTGTGATGCTAAAAAAATGGTCAATTTGAAGATTGCGATGTTTGAGAGGGTGGCCTAGACAAGGTTAAAAAATTGAACCTTTATGTACGACTTTTATGTTGACTGTGGAAGTCATCTACTATTTTGTCATGATCAATGGCGAATGCTTTTAGGAATTGTTGTTTGGCTCAAGTAGATTGAATTTCCTTTGGCAATTGTGATTGGGATATAATGCCTTGACATTTTTTGTTGCTACTTTATTGACATGGAAGGAAAGTCAAAATGGAGGAGTGGAAGGATAAACAGACAGGCTATTGGTAGGTACTAGGCAGATATGTAGATAGAAGGACAAACAGATAAAACTTCTGATCACCTCTTGCTTTCGTACCATATTCTGTAGTGTTTTGTTTCCACTGTCTTGCTTCTTGCCATTGACATGTTTCTGTGTTTGCATGCCGCTCACATGTTGCTGGGGCACTTGTTCATGATTACCCCCAAGAAAGAAAAAAAGCGAAATCAAAGGTGTCCTAACTTGGATTTCCTTGGAAACTTGGGTGTGTTTGTCAGAGCATAGTTTCATCAGCATGGGGCCTGTTTCCATATCCGGAGAAGAGGCATGAATTCTAGCAAGGGATCTCATTTATTTTTGACAATTTTTGCCATATTGGTGCTTGAGTTTGAGCATAGAAAATGTGCACATATGTTTGTAGAATATGGGATGAATAGTGTTTTTCCTCCTTTCGCATTTTTTGCTTCTATGGAAATGAACTTCCTTTCTTTGCATATACTTGCTCAGTTCACAAGTTTGGATTCACCACAGGAAGACAGATCAAATTTTCTTCTTGGTGATTCTGAAACAGAACTGGATGAATGCTTGAGTTAGTTAATTATTGATATGATTGGCCCCCAAGGGAAGCACGAATTTGAGAATTGAGATAATTAATTCTAAACTTTTTAACAGTCCTTCATTGTGGTGTTGTTGTGCTTGCATTGGTGAATATATTTTTACTACCGGCAAAAACCTCTCATAATTCACGTATTGAGTCGCTGATCCTTTCACGATTTACATCAGAAGTATATAACAAGAAGCACTTGTTGTGCCCCACCTCTTCCTTTCTTTATCCGAATAGCCAAAGAATTATTGATCTGACAACCTTATTTTAGTATTATAAAAAAATCAGGATTTATTTACCATTGTTCTTCGTTAAAAATTTCAGGTTCTGCAACTTCTGTAAATAAGGAAATGGCAAGAGGAAGCAGGGGACGACACACAATTGCTTCCCGTCAATTACGGCCAACACCATACCCTTTGCCTGCATGCAAGAAGGATATGTGTGACGCTTTATGCTCAAAGAGGTGCTCTACTGACTTGGATAAGAATGATTGGGAAAATGTGACATGTTCTGTCTGCATGGAATATCCGCACAATGCAGTACTTCTACTCTGCTCCTCTCATGACAAGGGCTGTCGTCCCTATATGTGTGGAACCAGTCTTCGTCATTCAAACTGCCTCGAGCAGTACAAGAAAGCTTATACTAAAGTGGTCTCATCCAATTTGCCTCTCGAGAAGAGTGAAATCACAGAGCTGGCATGCCCTCTCTGTAGAGGTCAGGTGAAAGGTTGGACAGTTGTGGAACATGCACGAGAGTACTTTAATGCAAAGAAAAGAAGCTGCATGCAGGATAACTGCACATTTGTTGGGAACTACAAGGAGTTGAAGAAGCATGTCCGGGCAGATCATCCTTCAGCACGTCCGCGTGCAGTAGATCCTGCTCATGAACAGAAATGGCAGTTGCTTGAGTGGGAGCGCGAGCGAGAAGATGTTATCAGCACAATAACATCGGCCATGCCTGGGGCAAGGGTTTTTGGAGATTATGTCATTGAAGGAAATGATAATGATCTCACTTCAGAAGATGAAGATGGGGATTCTAATGTTGGTTCTGCTGAAAGAAGTGGCAGATTTCACATGGACTTAGAGGCAATGAATTTCTTTTTGCTATTTCATGCGGTTCGGCAAGGGAATGAACTTAACTTCAGTAGACAACAATTGGGGCCGGAGCTGGCTTCTGGAGGAGTATCCAGTCCGGCCAGTGCTCTCCATGCACCTTCTGTTGGCAGGGTGGATTTCTCTGATCAAGATGATGACAATAATAGGTTTAGTGAAGGTGTTGGTTTGTCACTGGCTAGCCGCCTCCATCGCCATGGCCGTGGCAGATTCTTATTTGGCCGCTCAAGCAGGAGACGAAGAAGGAGAGAAGCGCACACACGAGGGAGGATGTAGATAAAGAAACCATGCACAGCAAAGCAGGAGGTTGGAGATGGTGTTTGTTAGGTTTATGGCGGAGCTTAGTGACAGAAAATGATTGATTCAGTAACATTTACATATAGATTATATTCAGGAAATAGGAAAAATTAGATAGTTACTGTTTTCCCCCCTCTTGTAATTTATTTTCTTGTACATTCCAACCTTCCTCCTAGTAGAAAATGCCAATGCTTTTCTTTCAACCAGAAGCTTATTCGCTGGCTTTGCATAGTTTTATGGCTTTTACCGCCAATGAATGACCTTGTGTTTCTCGGAAGTTGATCCCAATAATCCCGGTGATGTATGAAATGACTCAAAAACGGGGTTACTGATTGTCTTAAGAAATTCCAAGTGATGTAGTAATGTTTCAAACGTGTTTTTAGGTTTGTTTATAATCATTTATAAGTAATTTTTTATAAAATTTTTTAATTGTGATTTATGAAATACTCCTCCGGTCCTTATTATAGACTCATTTGACTTTTTATTTGGTCCTAATTATAAGACCCAATCCATTTTCTCTCTTATATTATGCATTTTTTCCAAGATAATCCTTCTAATAATGATAGTTTTAGCCAATACTTAATTAGCAAGGATATTTTAAGAATACAACACTTATTTATTATAAATAACCAACTTAACTTACTTCCTTAATCTCTTCAAATAAGTCAATGGTCTTATAATTAGGACTGAGGAGTATGAAATAAGGAAGTAAAATGAGTTTGTCTAGGCTGTATATAAATACTTATACATTATACTCCCTAGCAAGCCTTGACACTCGAAATAATACTAATCAAATGAAGTGAACCCAGTAATTTAATACTATTACTAAAGATATGTTTAGAAGTTAACAAATTTCGCTAACCCTTCTTACCTTTTCTTTTTTGGCCAACACGCTAACCCTGCTTGCTTATTGTATGGTTTGCATCAGACTAATCCTTCCGACTTCTTGACTCACAACCAAGTGATTCATTTAACTGGAATTAAAAACTATACTTTATTTCAACGTAATTTTTAAAAAAATGTTTTTGCATTAAAAATTGACTGAGTGTCTGATCATGAATTCATAAATGGCTGCAAGAATAGCATCATGCTCCTTTTGGTAATAAGGACTTTTTTATTTTCAAGGTAAAGATATCTTATTATTAGAGACAATCTTGCTTAAAATATTATCAGGCATTAAAAATATACATCTCTCTCAGCAAAGATTCGAACATTGGTTCACTATTAATATTATTAGTTTTTTTTCTCATAGCTAATTAATTTTTTTAATGTCATTATTTTTTGCAAATAAAATGATTATCTGGCCGGGGAGCAAACATATGTTTATAATCTAGATACTTTAGTAGAAGAGTGAAATTCCACCCATTTAAATATATTAAGGACAAAATTGCATTGCCAAATACTTTCAAAAGTAGTTTGGTGTGCTTTTACCTTTTTTTTTTTGGGCCATGCCTGGTAAAATTTATAATTTAGGGAGAATGAAAGAAAAAGAAACTGGAAATTATAAGTCACAGATCAGGTTTAGTAATACAACTTTATTTGGTATTAACAACTAATAAGTCTGAATTTATAAATGATAATAAATTTTTGTTGACATTCTTTATTCTTTATTTGATATTTTCAAAATTCCAACTTTTTTTAAAAAAATCATTGTCCCTATAATTCATTATTCATTATTTATTATTAACCTAAAAGCGATGGTGTTGTCTGTTGACGGGAGCCGCGGCTGCAAAACCCTACAAAGCTTACGATACAAAAAAAAGAAACCATCTTGTTAGGTTCTAAGGCTGCAGTGCGGAGAACACCAGCCCTAGCCGAGAACCCAAAAGGAGGCATCGTCACAACAAAAAATGCCGAAGTCCAAACGCAATAAAACAGGTTTTGTTTCTGTTAAGCTTCTTATATTTTTCTATGTTCAATGTTTTTGTTCATTCGTTTGGCGAGGAAATTGGGATTCTTGTTAACGCTATTAAAAAAGTTTTCTGTTTGGTTTCATCGGTAAAATTTGATTCTTTTGTTCATTGAGATGTGGGAATGATTAAACTTGAGGCCTACACCTCAGCTAAGATTTCTGCTTTTGTTTCTCGGTTGCTGTTATAGCAAGCAGCCGTCTTTTAGTGAACCGAAGGGTTGCGTCTGAATATGAGGTTGAAGCAGGAAAAAACATTTGAAGTTTATTAACTTGTTTTACTCTTGTCTGCAAAAATTGACAGTTTAGAAGTGTCCTTCCTCGAAATCTCAAGTTTAATTTAAATTGTTCACATTAATATCGACTTTAGATTTGGTGCTGAGCCTAACGTCAACGATCTACGTTTTTGTGGCTTGGTCGAGAGGGTATTTTGTTTTCACTTTTACCTTGTCATGAGTTCAACTTGTCAGTTACCAGTCAGAACTATTAACTGTCTAACCAGTCTTATAAAAGCAACCATGGAGATTTAAAATCAAGCAGTTTACAGGCGTATATTCTGATTGATGGTGTCTTACCTAATTTGTTTGTTTGTTGGTGGAAATGCAGTCACACTCTCGAAGACTAAGAAAAAGGGGAGGGAGCATAAAGAAGCAATAGTAAATGCCATAAAAGAGGCTGCTGAAAAATACAGCTCAGTGTATGTGTTCTCTTTTGAAAACATGAGAAATAAGAAATTCAAGGAGTTCAGGGAGCAACTGAAATCTAACAGCAGGTAATATTGATTTCTGCATGTTCTTTTCATTTGCTGGAAGGTAGAAACTAAGATAAACCATGGATTTGGTGCTTATTGATTGGGAGTCGTCATCAGTTTGTTAGATAGCTGAGCTAAAAATCATTCCCTAGTTCTTAATTTATAATCTAAAAATAGAGGTCGTGTTAGTGTTGATTGTAAAATTTCTGTCTCTTGAGATGCGTCTTCTATAGTGGTTCTAGACTTCCATTCTGTAGTGAAGCCACCCATTGAGGAAAACTTCATGAACTTAGGGAACTGTATGCTTTCACAAAGTATCTGGGCTTCTCATGCAAAGGTGATTATATGATTACTAATTTTTTTTCTACTGCAACCTGTCATTTAACTTTCAGGTTTTTCTTGGGGTCAAACAAAGTCATGCAGGTCGCTTTAGGTCATTCTGCTGCTGATGAGATTAGACCTGGTCTTCACAAGGTTTCTAAGGTAGGTAGCCAATATTTATAGGCTTATTTCTCATGTGGTAGTATTTTACTTTCAGTGAACTTATTTTCATTCGATCTTTCTTGGTTTTTACTTAAGCTTCTGCGAGGAGATGCTGGAATGTGTTTTACAAATTTGCCAAAAGAAGAAGTTGAAAGGTAATTTTCGCTCTTCTCAATATTGTCATGAAACTAAGAAAGAGTAGAAAAGGAACAGGCCAATGGACTGAGTGAAGGCTGGTATTGTTTTTGTTTTCCACTTTGATCAACCTTTTGGTAGAAACTGGACTAATCTAAACATTTCTGATTGTGTTTTGCAGGTTATTTAACGAGTTTGAGGAGTATGACTTTGCGAGAACAGGAAGCACTGCGACTGAGAAGGTTATTTCTCATGCTCTTGGCTTTCATTTTAAAGGTGTATTGGCTAGCGATGGGAAGTGGCTGGAGATATTTGTTTCAGTTGTATTGGGTCAATGAGAAAGTCTAGTTTGTGTGCTGCATTCATCTGTTAACTTGTGTTAATAGTTTCATACTTTGATTCTGATGAATAGCATTTGATTATAGGCTCAAAGGGGCAAGGTTATAGCGGTTACATCTCGCTCTTGCAATTTTTTTTTCTTTCGGTGATGCTCCATAGGAAATGGAGAGGCTTCTTGGCTATGGGATTTTGTAGAATGTCCATGTAATTTGTTTATATAATGATATTCAATCATTAAAATTTTTTAGGTGGAACTCAAAGAAGGTCCTTTGGAGCAGTTCACCCATGAGATGGAGCCATTTCTACGGAAGCAAGGCATGCCTGTCCGGTTAAATAAAGGTACACAGTAGTTTTCTTCCCCTCCCCCTTCCAAATATGATTCAAAAGCACATAAATGTGAATTTACCAATAATCAATAAGTTATAAATTGCAGGAGTGGTGGAACTTGTCTCAGATTTTGTTGTCTGTGAGGAGGGGAAGCCATTGTCACCTGAGGCATCTCGCATACTGGTTAGCTCACTTGTTTTAGTACCTGAGTATTTTTGTCATCATCATAGGAGCAGATAGCTTCTTTAGTAATGGGTTTTATCTAACTGTCTTGTCATCATTTTCCCTCTATATCCATCTCCCTGGTAAATGAGGAATATCTATATCAATGATGGATTTTATTGATTTGTGGATTTTTTTTGGGAGTAAATGTAGGGTCAGGGTCATTTCCTATCACATTTCCTTCCTCTTTCCCCTGTCATCGTCTAACTTCTGCATGTCAAACATTGCCTACGTTCATGCATATAGATTCATTTGCAACTTAGGTTGTAAGTATATACTTTGCCCTCTATGCACCACTTCAATCCGGAGTAAGTAGCAGCTACACGATTTGAGTATTATGATTTTCAATGATAATAGAATAAGGCATTGTAATTTTGATTTTTTTTTTAAGATGTTTTCTGCGAACTAATATCTGATTGATTTTCTTTGCAGCGTTTACTGGGAATACAGATGGCTACATTTAAACTCCATCTGATATGCAGATGTAGTCCTGACGATTTTGAGCTGTACATACAAGGACCAGATGATTCAGACGTGGAAACGAATTAGAATTTCAATTTGGCGGAGATGGGTTTGCTTCTCGATTCAGTGGCAACATAACTTGTGTGGTCTTCTGGCGTCCTGGATTTTTGGCGTGAGCGTGTTTTTGTAACCTATATATATGTATTCTAGGCCTTATTTCTAGAATTAGTCCATCACTTCCGCAGCCCCCAGTTTTGTAATCTTGAAAATGTTGTCAAAGGTGAGTGGCTAGATATGCTTTATGTAGCTTCAGTTTTGTTTGCGCTCATGAATTTTGGATCTTTTACTGAACTGTTTTTCCTTCCAATACATCCCAGTTATTCTTTAGTCAATTACATTATTTTTACGGTGGATGGGGGAAAATGGTACCCTGAACATAAATTTCGTGTTTCATTTCTATCCGAACCTTTCTCATTTAGGGTCTTTTTTTTTTTTTTTTGATAATTTGTTCCATACTTGAATATATATGTGTGTATATATAAATGCAAATTAAATCGCTTCCGAGGTTACCAGTTTAATTCTATTT